TTAGATAAATGTCTAGAAAAGTTCAATTTCGGTCCTTGCTTCAGACGATGGATCCAGATTCTACATTCGAATGCTACAACGAGGGTAATGATAAATGGGAATCTGTCTCCACCCATTGAGTTGGAACGTTCTGTGAGACAGGGATCCTATCGCCCCCTTTCTTTTTGTCATAATGATGAAAGCCTTAGCGGCCAATCTAAGATGTAATAGAGACATTAAGCGTATTCAAGTCAGCTATATTCCAGAAGAGGCTTTACCGGTTTGTTCCTTGTTTGCAGATGATCTATCCTTGATGGTGGAAGCCTCATACGATAACTTGCTAGCAATCAAGAGACTGATGGATAAATTCTGCTCCCTCTCTGATATGAAAATCAATTGGGGAACAAAAACACAAGGGTGGTGGATACACCATCAGGGAGTAAGACCTCCAGAATACCCAAATATCAGTTGGTTGACAGCAGAAACCCCAATTAGAGTTTTAGGTATCTCACTCTCAGCAACGGGTAAACCAATAGGGAATGATGAATGGATATCTAAACCAGCTCTGGCAAAACTGGAACTGTGGAAGGATAAAAGAACCTCTATTATAGGACGCTCGCTGATTATAAATAATGTTATTCTGGCGTCTCTCTCGTATAAGTCTGCAATATGGGCTATGGACAAATCAGCGCTTAAACCTTTTGAAAAACAAATAACAGCCTACCTATGGAGAGGAAATCATGATTTCAAAAATGTCATAAGTAGAGTTGCCTGGCAAGGAGCAATTCAGCCTAAAGCAAGGGGAGGGTTAGGAATCTTAGATCCCTCCACCCAGATCATGGCACTCTCAATTCGATGGGTTAAACGACTACTTTTTGACCCAGAGACTCCTTGGTTAGCCCTAGCTGAAGAACAAATTACAAGACTAGCACCTGAAGTTCCAGAAGGGACAGATCCCTTGATGTGGCTAGAAAACCGTTACTGGTCCATTCCAAGAGGTGGAGCACAACCCCCAAATCAGTCAGTGAAACCTCATCGTTAGGCCACAAGAATGGACATTAAAAATGACTCTTTTTGGCCAGACCTTCTCAAGACTTGGCGCAAACTACCCTTACCAGATAAAATCTCTCCAAACCGTTGGGAAGAGGTCTGTCAACAACCCCTCTTTAATAACAGGTGGTTGACTGATTCACAAGGAAGGATGTTTCATTGTATGGATTCCCCATGGAGGGGCAGGGTTAAAAATGGGATCCTAAGGATTGGGGATATCTGGAACTCAGAAACTCGAGACTGGTACTCTCTCTCAGATCTCTTGTCTTGTTTGCGCTATTGCAGGAACACAGAAAGAGCACTAGAAACAATCATTGATGCTGTCCCGATAGAATGGATAAGGATTTTCAGAAAAGGACTCCAACTCAAAGAAAGTGATTGGGTGGGCATCCAAGGAAACCCCCAACAAATAGGAAATGTGGTAATAGTGAATGACGAGAGATCAATTTTACTCTCCTTGTTCTCAATCGATCAGAAAAATCGAATAAAGGAGAGTCATAGTAAGGAAAGCAGGTGGGTCAACGCCGATCAAGTATTCAGGATCAAAGTTTTGAGAGATAAAGACCGTTGGCTTGTTTTCAAACCATTATGTGCAATACAAAATTTGGCTATAGACCCAATATCTTGGTCATGGACGGTTCCTCTGGGGAAACGTAGCAAGTCTACTCGTAATATCCACTCCCTGACAGTCAGATCAACTTACCATTTGTTGAGACCAAGATTGGATCTAAAGGATCGAGTGAAAGCCAGATGGATGGAACATCTGAATGTAAGCAGGGAGGATATAAGACATATTAAGTGGTTCAAAACTATTAAGATAATGCTGACCAAAATTGCCTCTTTACAGTGGCAAATTAACCATCGTTGTCTTCCCACGAATGATTGGCTAATAGATAGGACCTCCTTGGAAGAGAAAGGCATTGCCTTACCTTGGTGTAAGCTATGCTCCTCTGCATTCCCATCAAGGACCATTTCGGAAACCATTCAGCACATCTTCCTTCAATGCCCAGGTGCAGTCTGGCTATGGCGATGGTGGGATAGAATTTGGAGTTCCCTAGATACCTCACTGACCTGGCCGTGGGACTGGAGGACCTGTTATGCGAGACATGGTCTCCAGAGGAAATAGATGAATTCTCTCATAATCTTATTTATAACCGGCAGAAGAGCTGTCCTATGGGCCCTTTGGCAACGTTGCTGCACGTTTGAGATGGAGGGAGCAAGGCTGGATGGCCCAGAGTTTACTGAGACAATCAAGGTACAGGTGCAAACTGTTATCACTGCTCAATGGGACAAAATAAAAAAAATAAAAAAATTCCTGTCAAACAAAAAAGAAATCCAACATCATATTCAACTATTCAGTGGCGCTTGGCTAGGGGGGGCTCAAGGTGGTAAGATTGGGAGGATCAAAGAGAGTGGGGTCAAAAGAGAAGATACAGAAGGGCAAAAGAAGGAAGTCCAAAGAGACTACAGCCTGTCTTTCCATGATTGGACAAACGTGGACCCAACAGTACCCCTTCGCCCGCTTTCAGAGTTCCCTGATCCTTTCCCCCATCCTCACTATCCCTGGTCCCCATGAGTTGGTTTGGCTGCATATGAGGAGGAATTGGCTTTGGTATTTTGCAATCAGCTAGGTGATACTGTCTGTTCTGGTGGCCATTCAAGGCTGAAGAGGCTGATCTTTCATGATTCGCAAGTTCTCAGTTTCTCCAATTTCTCAAAAAAGACGATGTATAAGGGACGCTGGACCCAGTTTCCAGCTGGTGCAGCTCCCCGCCAATAGAATGGAGCCAACAGGTGGTCTGCTAGGGGTGGGGAAGTATTTCACCATCCCATGCAGAACCAGCTGGGTTTTGAAAAAAAAAAAAAAAAAAAAACACGGGTAACCACCCCAGGCCCTGTGGAAATTCAGGCAGTTGCGCAGCGTCAGTTGGTTGAGTGAGCCCAGGCCCTGCCTGCCTTTTTCCAAATGTATCTGAGGCAGGCCCTGGGCCAGACATGGGGCATGAACTGAACACAGGCCGTTGGCAGTTGGACACGGGTAACCACCCCAGGCCCTGTGGAAGATTCCCCGGGACAGGGGCTCAGCCACTTGGGGCCTACCAGAAGCTTCCGTGGGGAGGACCAGGCCAGCCAGGCAGCTCGCGGCTGGCAGCCACTTTCCATAAAGGAAAGGGCCTGGCCGCTGGCCAGACATTCGGGCATTCGCTGCTTATGCGCAAGTGCTGCTGTGCCAGCTGCTGAAGCGAGTGCCTCCGCGCTCACGGGCGAGCAGGGAAGAAGCAGGCAGCCATAGTCGGGCTGGCCTGCGCGTTGATGGATGGGGCGCATGGTGGTCCTTGGGTGCATGTGGCATCTGTGTGGAGGATCGAGGTTGTGGGTGAAGCGAGGGACATACGTGGTGCTTGATGCAAACGGCATTGGCTAGGGTCTGCTCGTACTTTGGGAAGCTGTTGACGTCACCAGCGGCATTGTAGATAGGCTAGATAGGATCTGCCATTCGTAGTCTGGACGCTGAGCACCAGATAGGGATTCGACATTGGTTCATTGAGACTATTCCAACATTGTCACTTGTGAGCTTTTGCTGTGCTCTTATTTGGTGGAACTCGAGTTGCAATTAGGCTATCTGGTTTCTGGAATTCGCTATCGCTCATTTTCCTTGCAGTCATTATTATTATCTGTTTAATTGAGGTTGTTGGGGAGACTGGCAGAGTTGGAGGTGTTGGAGAAGAAGGGGGGAGTTGACATCGGTTACACAGGAGTATTTCTTCTTCTTCTTCTACTACTACTACTACTACTTCAATCCTTGTCTCTTTCCCTTTCAAGTTCTCTCATTTCTCTTGCAATTGGATGGCATTGTATTTCTTCAATTTGGCATTCCTTTGAGCATTTGCTTGGAAATTGGGCAGGATCGTAACACTGGGAAGAAAAGAAAAGTAGTAGCTTCTGACGGAATGACCTTCCACTCTTACATTCTGAGTCTGACTCCTGATTGAATATGAAAGGATTTCACAATCTGCCCATGCCTGAGTCCTGGTCCCAGAGTCTCACCTGGGCCCAGTCCGAGTTGGTCCCGGTAGGTCCCAGACCCAGAGTCCTCAGAGTACGCCAGGTTCTGGAGGCCAAAGCATCGTAGTCCGGTAGGGTCTGGTAGTTAGGTCCTCAAAAGTTGTAGGCCCGGTACCCGAGAAGAAAAGTCCACAGGCCCAAAGGCCAATTTGGCAGCAGCGTCCTGGGAAAGTCTGGTAAGTTCCGGAACTGGCAAACTGCATCCGACAGGCTACATCGACCGGTACCTGTCTCGAGCCGACAACAATTCACTTCAGCTGCTATTTATAGTTGCTACAGTGCTCCATCACATCACTATGG